CCCGGGGCAGTGCCACTGACTGAAGTGTCTTTAGGCCATTCCCAAAGGGGGGACATTTCTCGTTCTTATGCACAGTAGAATTGTAAATGAGCTGATTCAACAATGTAATGCTCATAACTGTGCCTCAACTACAACAGGGAACTGCTGCCTTTTCTTTCCTAATCTTAAGTATCGTCATTTTCCTCTCCTTCTTTTGTATGTTTGTCACTCTCTTGCGACCCGCTATTTCCGGGGTGCCTTGAAAGTCAAAACAGACTTTGTGCTGTTAAAGCTAAAGAGGTGAGCAGAGTAAGCCTGATTACCCGTTTGCACGTCTCTGTTCACATCCACCCCTGGCGCTCATATGACCTTATTAATATGCAGTTACGAGCGCCGTAAAACCTCTGCTAAATAATTACAATATATACTCTGTCAATTGGATTCATTAATTCGATAAAGTCTTATACTGCCAGATTTTCCTTCATGGGCGAGGCAAAAGCTATAATTTGGACACAACTCGACTGAATTCGACGAAATTTGGACTGATCTTCAAAATCAAATTCATTTGTTTTTCGAGGTCACAAGTCGAATCAGTTGTATTCTGTCGAAAACGATAGTTTTTGTCCCAGTTTGATTTACCCCAATCAAATTCGAATGAATCCAATTGGCAGCGTGCACTGGGTGTTTTCAAGATCTATCTTTGTGAGACGCAATATCATTTTGAATCGATTCTTATTTGACCACATCCCATTCGATTTCTACACAACTGGTACGTATAATATGTACAGTTGGATTTTTTTTCAAAGTAATTGTCTCTGTCCTGTCGGATACAGACGTAAAATTCGGAGATCCTGCTTCTTAACTAACCTAATAGTAATATTTCCCAATAACAACCCACAACACATGAAGCGCATACTGCCATATCACAATAACACATGACACACATGTAACCTCTTCCCAAAATAATATATGACACACAAATCTTATGCAACACCTTCAATAACATACAATGCAAAACACACATGTTACTTCTCCCAAAACACATACAAAGCAAACAACACAATATTTAACATCTTTCCACAAAAACACACAACACTGTGTAACATCTCCCACAATAACACACAACATCGACATTACATTACACCGCATACAAACTCACCACATCCGTCTCCACCTTCTTCTGAGCGGCTTTTTTCTTCTCCTCCTCCCTCTTTGCCTCCCTCTTTGACTTGCCCTTTGACTTCTTTCCTTTCTTCACGGATTTCTTATCCTCCTTTTCTTTATTCGAGTCGACCATCTTGCCTTCCTCATATTTTCCCTCCTTCTCTTTCTCCGTCTCCTCCCCATTCTCGACTTCCTGTTGGTGGAAGACGTCATCAGCCCCAGTTGTGTCCCCTTCTCCATCCAGATAGGCGGGCTGAACGGAATTCTCGTCAGCAAAAGTCTGGGAACAGACGGCGTAGTTAATAAGATCAGATCAGTTAAGATAAAATACGATAAGACAAGAAAAGACAAGAAAACCTAAAATTAGATAAGATACATTTTTCTTGTTCTGATGCTGGTGCACACGTGCACTTGCACATACACCCTTTCACACATCCTCTCCAACATAATCACTATATATATATACACACACATATATA